ATGTTTAATGTTTTTTGTTTACTTTTCAGATATACTTTTAAAAAAACAGTCCTACAAATTGACAATACCACAGGCTATTGCAGCTATATCATCCAATAGTGGAATATAAGAAATGTTGACAGTTGCATGAGGTCCAACCATTTGAAAGTCTCTTAATCTTCCAATGCTTCTTTCAACATGTACCCTCAACGCAGCAATCTTCTTTGTTTGCAACACTTGCTCTTTTTTGGGTTTTGAGCTTGAACTCACACTAAAAGCAGTCTTAAAAGCTTACACTGTTTTTGTTCTAATAAATGGGCTATATGGGCTATGGGCTTTTTGAATCCTCTGTCAAAACCAAACTCCCAGGTGTGAGTTCATCTAGAAACCCACAGTCTTCAAAGATCATTGAATCTGGGGTCCGCCCTCCATACCCCTCAGAAATAAAATTAATCATTCCATCAGGTGTAATGAAAATCAGAAATTTGTGTATTGCGACCAAGTTAATGCCTGGTGTGTGGCATTACTTGTTTTTGAATTTGCACCACGAAACAATCAATTATTGAGGTCACTTTTACTAAGTTACTGTTTACCACATGAGTAATGATGATAATAGTTGGTATATGGAGCTACTTACATCAAAATGATCCTCGCTACAATATCTTACAGTTTGGCACGAAAGCGGAACTTTGTCATCCCTCCTCATGACAGTACACCATTTTTTGCGCACTTTCAGGTCCCTTGGCACATTAAAAAACAGTTTTTCAGGTGTACTAGTTGAAGTATTAGTACATTTCGGTACTATACAGTAATTATAATGCGGGATATTTTCACATAAAAACCACAAAACCACAACACGACACGCGCAGATCGAGTAAACTTTAATAAATGAATGGCGGAGAGCGAGAGCGCGGGCGATAGGGATCTCGTGACGTCACATGAGCATTTCGGCCGCCCCGCGGTTGGCTTGTATAAAATGTGTAATATCTTCGCAACCAATTTACCGATTTCAATAATTTAAAAAGTATTGTACCTAATCGAGTAAAATGAACACCATTATATAGATAATATAATATGCATTTTCCGACTTGATACGGGGACCCATTGTTCAGTTTAACTATAGTTAAAATAGACATCGAAAAACGCATTTACGATTTTACTAATGGTTAGTCATTTAACTATAGTTAATGTAACAAATGGTTATACCATTTTTTACTACGGATCAAAAAACTGGCCCTACATCAAATATGTCTATTAAATTTGTTATATTATCTTGAAATTTTGATAAGGTTTTTGACATTGTATTAATAAACAGTATCCTCAAGATTTTCTCATTATTACTACGTTGAATACGGATGAATTGTTATGACGTATTTATTGCTTTATGTTATATTAGTCTTATTTTCAGAGCAAGTTATCCAGTTTAAAAAAAAGGTGCGTGTACTTATGTACTCGCGTAAGAAGATATACTTCTTTGGCATTAATAAATAGTATATTTCATTACAAGTGCGGAAAGCCTGTCATTGCAAAGAGATTCGACAAATGTCTACCCGAGCCGAGGCGCAGCCGAAGGTGAGGGTTGACAGTCGGAACAAGTTGCAATGACGGTTCCGCACGTGTACTGAACAACTATTTTTAATACAGTTGCGAAAAAATTATGCAATTTAATAAAATAATGAAAAAACAATAAACTCAACTCACTAATCATTTATTTCTTATACAAATTATTGTTCACATATACATTGGTACAGTTTTTTATACTAACTGGAGAAGTTTTAGGTTGCATATTTATTTACTGTTTGAGACAAACTATTATTTATTTCGTATGATTTTTCATGTACATTTAATATAATAATAATAAGCCTTTTATTTCCTGTTTTACAATAGTAGTTGTTATATTAAAGTAACCAAAAATATTGATTTTGTTAGTAGGTTAGCTTAAATTATGTTAGTAATATATATTTATGTTATTTATTTAACAGGAACCCCGGTTTGGGTAAAGGCCTCCTCCAAAGATGCCCATTGTTGTCGGTCCTGTGCTATGGAGTGCCAGTTTTTGCCAGCTGATCTTTTCAGATCATCTTCCCAGCGGTCTAAGGGTCTCCCCTTCCGCCTCTTGCCTGGTGGTCCTTTCCATTCGGTAACTCGTTTGGTCCACTTTCTGTTAGACATTCTTGCCACATGGCCAGCCCAATGCCATTTCAGTTTTCGGGCAAAAGTTAAAGCGTTTGTAACTTTAGTGACGGCTCTTATCTTTATGTGTCTTATTTTATCCATTCTCTTTATGTTCAACATGCTTTGCTCTAAACCTCTTTGACATACATTGATTTTATTCACAGCTTGTGTAGAGAATTTCCAGGTCTGGCTTCCATAAGTTAAGCTGGGTAGTAGACATGAATTCATAACTTTAGCTTTGAGAGTTATTGGTAAGTTACTCTTAAATATTTCTTTTAGGCTCCAATATTTATTCCAGGTTTGTTGGACCCTTCTCTCTATTTCTATAATGTTACTGTTTTCCTCGAAACTTATTCTTTTTCCCAGGTAGGTATAATTTTCTACATATTCTAAAGGGTTACCATTGATAGTTATAGGTCTTTTTCGTGTATTACTCATTATCTTTGTCTTCGTTAGATTCATCTCCAATCCAACTTCCGCACTCACCTGTTGTAGAGATTCTATTATGAATTGCATCTCGTTGACTGTCTCTGACAGAAGGATCAGGTCGTCAGCGAACCTCAGGTGACTTAGGTAGGTGCCTTTTATATAGAGTCCTGTTTTACTCCGATCTAATTTGTTCATGATGTTTTCGAGTATTGCTATGAAAATAGTGGGTGAGAGCGGGTCCCCTTGTCTTACCCCTCTTTCTATATGGAATATTTAATATATAATATAACAAACAACTAAACGCGCAAAGAACATTTTTGGAAAATGGCGCCAACCGTAAAAGAATATAAGCAGATTTTTTTTTTTTTCACCCATTGTGGGTAGGCAAAGGGAACTATGCCCATACAGCCAAGTCTTCAGTACAATTTTTTATTGATATGAAATCTAACCTAACTCATTGAATCAAATCATTAAATCTTATATTGAAACAAAGCAGTAGCTTTTTTTTAGAAATATTTGCATGAATCATAAAAATTTCTATGAATTTTTTTTAGTCAAATCTTCGTGGTTGGTTTTTTTCTTTTTAATAGACATTATTTTGACAGTTGGGAAAGAAAACGCACTAGTTCGGAAAAGGTAAAAAAAAGCACGAGTGTGTAATAGCCCACATCCCGAACGCTATACGTCCCTGCAATACGCCACTTTTTGAGCAACTGTATTAAAAAATAGTTTTTGATTGCATGCAAATAATTAATTACAATTAAATAATCAAACACTGGAAAAGGAGTCATTATAGTCAATAAAGTTCAGTTTACATTTGAAAAATTAAATAAATAAATATTTATTATTATTCTCTTACATTAAGTGTAACATAAATTCTATTATTATTCGAATGTTGTTTTTAAATTATGTCCAATGCCGACGCATCTTCCGTGGGCTCACTTCATTCTGTTAATTTTGTGTCACGGTGTGCGCGCATCGTAAAATTTCACTCTCATCAATTTTTCATAACGCGCCTAAAGAAGTATAACTTCAAAAATGTGTTTAAATAGTGGAATTGCATTATAAAACTGTTAAGCTATCTATTTAAAAACGAGACCTATTTTAATGTAGAAAATATATTTTTTACAAAAAAATTGACAGACCATAATATTATGTCATTTACTGCGTTTTTAATTAAAATGCTTCTTTTTGATAAATTAAATGTTATTACTTTAAACATTTGTATTTCCCAGTTACTAAATACATAATTGATTCGCGGGTTCAAAGGTAAGTATTATTTAATTATTGATACTTTTATATTTTTACATGTCAAAAAGAATCTGATTTGGTAAAAATCTTTTAGTACAGCCCACATCAGCAGTACCACCCACACAACTAAGATACCCTTGAGACTATCCCCAAAAAAGACACAAAGGTCTTTAACAATACAATGCTCAAAGTAGTAAATAGCTAGTACTAAAAAAACAATGTTATGTTAATTGTTAGCTAGCTTTACAGCTTCGCCACGCATATGAAGAAGAATACACAAGATACAACCGAATAAATAAAATCCTTAGCCACGAAAAAGGAAAACAAGATTTACTACATTCTCGCAAAGTTAAAGGAATATCTTCATCTGTCAAAAATATAGTTATAATTTTTTATTTATAGATCTTCTGCAACAAAAGAAAGATTATTTTGTGATATGACCCAATATTAATAATTATTAATTAAAATTGCTACATGGGTACAGTCAATATATAAAATACGAACTTAATGAAGATTACCTATGCAATATCAATTAAAAACATGATGGCTTATAAGGCAGATCACACTAATTAAAAAAATTACACGAAAATTTACGGCTTACAAAAGACAAATTGAAGTAAAATCATTAATAAATAAACTATTACATATTATTAAACGTGTATGATTGCTTTTTTATGCCAAGGTTTCTATTTGTAAAAGTTGCGTTAACAAAAAGAAGGGATTTTATCAAAGACATATTAATTTTAATCTTTATTTAATGTCATTTTCTATTTCCATTTACAAAGTATACGCAACGTACATTACAATTTGATACTGCTCAGACGAAACGTCAATATTTTTAATACATTCTTGTTATACAATAACAAATTAAACTTAATAATATCCTACTTTAAGAATTTCTTTGATTGAGACCTTGACTACATACCCAATGGCTAAATAATTAGTTTGATTAGCCAAACTTGCATGCTATACTATATTATAATTTATGAATTTCACAAGTTTTTTATCAGTTAAGCTACATATTTATACAAGTTTCAAAGAAGTTATATAATTCCTTTAACATGAGTAGACCTATAGCGTAACTATCATAGATTTAATAAGTACTTAATTATTTTAAAAGAATTGTGGTATCTTCAAAATGTGAAAACCATATTGTAGTAAAGTCCTTAACCAATAACATCATACAGCTTGCGTAAATCCAAAACAAATACATTTCCATCGGAAACACTTGCACTAACCTTAGTGCCACTTGAATTCCAAGAAACCCCAAAAATACCCCCAGTTGTATAGTATGAGTGAACAAGAGATCCCGTTTGTGTGGACCAAATATGAACCCAGTTATCAAATGATCCACTTGCCAAGAACTTTCCATCTGGAGAAAAGGCAATACTGAATACAGATTGTATATGTTTAGTGAGTGTGTGAACACATGCACCTATCTCCACATCCCAAAGACGCACAGTGGAATCAAAAGAGGCACTTGCTATCATCAAGTTCATGTTGAGGTTCTGAGTCCCTGGTCCAGTGGGTGACCACTTGAAGGTGTATATTTCCTTAGAATGACCTTGTAAATCGTGGACACAGGTATCTCTATCCATGGAATAAATTTTTAAGGTCATGTCGTCAGAACCAGATGCAAGTAGCTGTCCTTGGGGATCCCATTTGATAGAGTTAATTTCATTCTGGAAAATATGCCACAAGGTTATATCCCCAAATATTATTTATTATGGTGAAGAATGTATTCAAATAAAGATGTTTTAAAATATAAATATTGAAAAATAATACTTACTGTGTGACCTAAGAAACTCTTAATTGGCTTTTGAACATTCAGTTGACCCACGTGAATGCTCTGGTCTGTTGAACAGGATGCAAATGAGTAATTAGTTTGCTAATCTACATCTGGCACTGGTGCTTTATGAAAGCGGAATTGTTGAATGCATTGACCTGAGGCTGCGTCCCAGATAATAGTTGTACTGTCAACCTGGAATGTAAAAAGTTATAATTTTCTGTTCATGGTTTTTAATACAATAGCTTTCAGAGAGAATAGATATCATTTAAAATTATTATTTATCAACTGAGCTAGCACATATTATGCTAAAATAACAAAAATTCTTCTCTTATTCTTGTTATAATAAAAATAAATTCATTAAAATGTGTCTAATAATTCTTGTGACAATTTCTAACATACATTATAAAGCAGTTAGATTTTTCAAGACAGAATAATCAAACGTACAATATATGACATAAATAAATATAAAATATCTAATCATAGTATGACATAAAATCTTACTCCTGCAATTGTTATATAATTGCCGCTTTCATTCCATTTTAAAGCAAAAATTTGTCCTTTATGTTGAGCTAATGTTGAGATAAGTTTCCCATCGCTTGACCAGATACGGGCATAGCCATCATAAGAACCAGTAGCTAATTGATCACCATCACACTAAATGAAAAATATAAAATGAAGACTTGAATGTTTGGCTACTATTGATATAATTAGGTATCATCATTAATTATAGTAAGATTACTTATTTATCTTATATCATAATGATTAACAATGTTATATATTAAAATGGAAATAATATAGTAATACAACACAACAGTAATACATACATTCCAATAAAGTGATGTGACGTCCCGATAAGTGTGTACTTCTGGTTCTTTTCTTGGAAAACAGTGCTTTAATATAAGTTGATTTGGTATACTTATTGGATTACTTACATTGGACATAGACATATCCCAAATTCTGAAATTATGTTACAATTTAGTTGGTAGTCCATTTGGGGATCAGTACTACTTACATTTACCATATAATATATCATAACCATGACATAGTAATTAAGGGATGATAAATACTTTTTATACTATAGGACGACAAACAAACTTGCGGGTCAAGGAGTAAGAACCACTTTGTGGGCACTAACACCAACAGTACATAATTTGTGAAACAGTGATTTCATTCAATTATTAACTTGCGACCAAAGAAAGAAAATGATTGACAAATGCTATTGAGCTCGATTATAATTGTTTGTACTATGTAAATATGTTAATCAACGAAAACATGTAAATGTAAAAAAAATATTGATGTTCAACTTAAATTAAAACAAACGAATATCATACAACTAACCTGGCTGTGCTATCTCCAGAACCACTTGCTAATAGATCCGTGCTAGGATTCCAAGCACAAACCTTAGACTCATGACCTCTTAGTACTGTGGCTTTAATGCCTGGCATTTCAATAGATTGATCGGTCTCCATGCTTATAGGGGCACTCAGGCTTTCAGCACCACCCGTTGGAGCTGTGTAGGTAGGAACCTAGAAGTATCAATTTGATAATGTAGAGATATATTAACAATTGGAAGCTAAAAACACAAAATTCTGTAATGCAAACCTCAACATCAATCAGTTCACTGTCAGAACTGTCTTCATTAACTTCCTGAACATTGTCTGTGTTTTGATCTACTAGACCGAGACTTTCAGTAAGTCTGGTTTTAAAAGCTGAAAAATATTCCAGTAGTTATAAATTGTATTACTTAATCATATGAACAGTAAGTAATATGTCTTCGCCAAATGTTATCTCCGCTTCGGTATACTGCCTTTTTGAAATATATTGAGAAGACTTGCTGGAGGTACGAGGGCTCCATTTATATTGCTTTGAGAAATGTGCGATTAAATGAATGGCCTTGAGAGTAGCGCAGGTCGATGTAATGAGACGAGACATACAGAACTAACTAAGCGCGTGTCTAGCGAATTATCATGTTTGGATCACAGGTAGATCCGTTTTGCAATCAAAACCTAAACCGCAACCAAGCAAACTGCCTTAGAGAACTGATTTAGCTTAATTCATCAGACTAATCAACTCTGAGATATCAGACTAACTATACCAAACAATAATAATGCAGACATAAGAAGGGCAAGAAACATACACAAACACTTACATTTGAGTAGGTTGTAACAGTTCAGTGTCTCGGTCACTCGCGCATCGCGTTGCGAATCTAGAATTCCCTGAAAAAAGAAATACCTCAATAATCCTGCACTTATTAATCCCTTAAATTGATTGATTGAATTCTCAGGGATGAAAGTTGCACAAATCCACTAGGTCAACACTGACGTTCGACTTTCCAACGAGTAATCGCACTGTGCCACTAAATAAAACCATTGGTACTTACTAGAATTGGAAAAAGAAAAAAAATAACAGGGTAAGGCATCAGTAGATCGTGGCAATGTGCTAGCGGCTTCAGTAAATTCCATACAGCCGCAAATTTGCCTCCATCTGTGGACATCTCTAGAGAAGGCGGCTGATCAGAGCGAGACGATATCGAACGCTGAAAAAAACATTTGTTAAGAACCAAAATTTTTGGTGCAACCATTGAAACCGGAACCTGGAATTTACAGCGTTTTACAAGTACTTTTAAATTCTGAAAGTTGACTGTGCCAAACCCATTTTCAAGAAGAGCGTACAAATCAAAATACTTTGGTATGGGTCTGGAGCCCTGCTGCCCGTTGGACACTTTCTATAAATATGTAGTTCGATATAAGATATACCTACCTCAGGACTGCTGATCATGCTATCGGTGACATCCACCTGTTCATCCTCACTCTCGGTGGCATCCACCTTCTGATCCTCACTCTCGGTGATCTCATTAATGTCTATCTCTTCTTCGTTGTTCACGGATGTTGCCAATTCTGTCTTTTTGTAACCCATTATGATTTCAAATCTTTCCATTATTTTATCGAACCCACCGGCTTGGCCAAAACTAAAGCAAATTTTTGTCAAATTATATTTATTTTCAAATCAAATTTTCTTTGAAGAGTATATATTATGATTGTTAGCGTTACTTAAGCCTAAGTACAGTTCGTGAACGTCAAGTAGTAATCAGACATCTGAACGTTATTAATTTATTATTATAATAATAGTAATATTTTATGCGGATCAAAAATCTCGAAGTCAGTAGTTCATTAAAGTCTTGATATTTTTTAATAGTTTCCAGACTTCAAATGGTGTTGTAACTAATACCATGAAATGAATTACTAATTTTATTGAATTAAATTGATATCCTTTGATACTATAACAACTTGTGAACTTTAGAAAAGCTTATGGTAAACCTTCAGATTTTTGTTTCTGTTCCTTGATATTTTTTATAGGAAAGTAAGTGACTAGGTCTTTGACCTCATGCCACAATTTTTTCTTTATAAACTCCAAAAATTTTTAAGTAATGCCGGTAACAAAATCTTTGAATTAAATACCTTAACATATTTTTATAAAACATCTCACCGTCAACTTTCTAATAAATAATAATATCATAATCAACCATTCGTCACAGACAAACACACAGACACGTCAAACTTATAAAATTCCTCTTATTGAGTAGGTGATTAAAAACCAGTATGCATTGTTGTATAGTCGCAGATTGGAGACAGGACCTCAAAATTGAGAGTAGTGCATAGCCATTTAAAACTAATGCAATAATTAATATATCAAAATAACTGACCTGCACATAATCTACTGGGAACTTAAATAGGAATTATTATCAAATTAAAATATTAAATACCATATTTCCTTGACATTTAGGCAAACATTCAGCATTCATCTTTGATCAGAATGAAATTAACAGGAAGTCTACAGATGATTCCGGCAATGTTTGAGAAAAAGAATAACAGAAAAAAAGTGCGTGCGTACAAAAAGTACACGTCATGTCAGAAGTGAAACTTCTTTGTTAATTAATTATTAATCATTGCATTGAAATGCCACGTTTTTTGTCAATATTCGAAACTGTAAATTAAATTTTAGTTTTGAATATAAAATTTAGAAAAGAGAATTTATAAATATTGAAGTGAAACTTCTTAAGGCACATGACGGTAAATTTTTTTACGGAACGTCACGAAGATGTGCAGCGTTTTTGTCGAAGAAAAGAGAGAGAGCGATTGAAACCAGTTGAGAGAGAGTGAGAAGGGTAAAATACCTTATAGAAATTCTATTTTAAAAATTAAAATTTCGTAAAGACTATGATATATTACTATTTTATTTATGCAAGATAATTTATTGAAATCTCAAATGACGAATCGTAAATTAAAATGCCACGTGTTTTTATTATAAATAATAAAAAAAAAATTATTTGTATTAATTTTCGACACTTAATATTTTAATGACAATTAAATTTATGAAATTCCTAACATATCTTCCTTTTTACCTCTATAGTCTCGGAAATCTAGTTTTAAGTTTGTATAAATATGAACAAGCGTTCAACATTAGTTTGCCAAAGAAGTTTCACTTCTGACAGTGTACTTTGTACGCACGCACATTTTTTTATTTTATGAAAAATAGTATATTAAATTATTAAATGACGTGTGGCAAATTAAAATGCCACATGTTCTTTATACCTAAATATTAAAACTTCCTTACCTCTAACGACGGTAACGAATTAGCATACAACATTGTTAATTAACAAAAAGTTAACAGATATATTACTAACTCTGAACAACTGCTTAGTATAGGACGAATTACAAATTTATCCCAAATTTTATTTATAAAGTTTCGCACTCTCTCTCAATCGCTCTCTCCCTTTTCTTCGACAAAAACGCTTCACATCTTCGTGACGCTAATATTATTATTATTGCGTTTCATTCGTAAATATTTTACCCTCATGCGCCTAAAGAAGTTTCACTTCAAAAATACATACACATCAATAAGATGAACTAGCCAGCCTCGTGGTGACTCGTGATCTTCTGACTGAGCAAAAACATGTCTCTTTTGAGTAGACCCTTGACCGTTGGTCGGTGTTGTTAGGCCTTCACATGTTTTTGACGCGTTAAATGTGTGAAACCTACAAAAAATTTTGACATAAAGAGAAAGTACGTTACTCATATTATGTTATATATGGTTTATTTATTATGTTTTTATCTGCCCTTGCCTTTGTTGAACAATTTAAGATTTAATTAAGAAAATATTATAATTGTGATGCAATATGCAATGACCTAACGACTTATATGAACAATGAACATGCATGCATATATCTCTTATAATCACTTACTTATTGTACGGATTTAATGCCATAGTAAGAAGATTCAAGAATATAGGATCATCAAGTTTCATGGCACATAATTGAACAAGTTTCTCGCAGTTTGAACGCACACACTGTTGGATATTATCATTCCATAATGGTACTGCATCATCAGTAAGAATCTTTGTAAATGATAATGTGATTGCCTCATTGTAGAAACGCTGACAGCCTGGGTCATTAACATCTTCACCTAAAATGTATATATATTATTTAAATTTTATTTCCCGAGAAAACCCTATGAAAATTATAAAGGATATGTTTATAAGACTTTAAACATCTCCTTATAAGCTCGCTAGTATTGTTTTAGGGTACTATTTAGTAATTGAATTGGTCTAAAAAATCAATTATTCAGTCACAAACAATCTATAACAAATAATTCAATTAATTACAGCAGTATTAAAGTGTGTAACAGCAGTCATATTTCTGGTGTTGATGAACCTGCACATCCTGACAAATGTTGATTTAACCCATGCTCATGGCCTCAGATTTCTGTATGTTCATGATATTTTTTAATATAATAGTCAAGAGTTAAGACATCACCTAGATCATGACTTCTGTGCCTATTAAACTTACAACCTCTGAGTTTCACTGCTCTAGGGTTGATATACACTGTTCTAAAATAACAATTGTAATTACACCAATAAAATTAACATTGTTTCTGAATTAATATTCTTAAAAAAATATGCTTTATCTATTTGTTAAATTTGTAAAGTCTTAAGATACGAACCTTTCTTTGCAAGCTCTGTCGCAGCAATAAGTAAACTCTCTAACTCCTGTTCAGGCAGCACAGGCACAACACAACTTGTTATTTTTTCTTCTAAGATTGTCAATTTTCCCAGAGGAAATGAAATCTACAGAAAAGAATATACAAATTTACTCATTATAAAAATTGTTGAACGGTAAACTTGAATTAAAATTCAATCAGAGAATAATTTTAACTATAATGTATTAAATGCAGTGGAATGTCGATAAGTCGATATCCTCAGTAAGTCGAAAAAAATTGCCATTCCCTTCCGATGAAACCCTAAATACCCGGTATCTCGAATTATTTAGACTTTGTAACTTAAACAAAAAGTATTGATAATACATATTTATACTCTATAATACTAAGTTTAAAAAGGAGACTCCGTAAGTCGTAAAATATAATGACGTCTTACTTGGAATCCCCCGAAATAATAGCAATACAATTCAAAATGAATGTTCCAGTTGGGGGCTTCTAATATTTTGTTTTTGGATTGTACACGTGCCATGTATGAATACATTTATACAACTAATTGATAAAAAATTTGTTAATAGTTTAAATCATAACTCAAAGCCGAAAAATCGTTAACTCATTTTGACAAAACGCTTGACATTCGAGTTATAGAGATTCCACTGTAATACAAACTTCATAATTTATGATTAAAGATAACTTAAAATAATATATTTATTTGAAAAACTAAAAGAAATATTAATATAGTTACCTCCTCAGGCACAGGCTCTTGTTCCGTCATTGACATTGTCACAAAAATAGAATTCTGTTAGATGCCTACAGAGCATGCGCGGCCCGGGTAGGGATGCAACTGGCTCGTTGCCCCTGACAACGCAGCTCAACCGATCGATATGTCGAGTCCTACCCACATGTTTAAAAAAAATAATTATAAACATTAGAAAACACGTCTGAACACAAAGATTGATAGGAACATAGTCAACCAATATACAATTCTGTTAGATGCCTACAGCGCAGGCGCGGCCCCGGGCAAGGCAGGTATGCAACAAGCTCGAAGCCCTTGACAACGCACCTCAATCGATTTACTAACAATTATTATGTTCAAGAAATACATTTATTTTTTTACTAAAACTTACCATTTCAAAATAAACAATTTTTTTAAGACTATCGCTATAAATTTTTAATGATCACACACATTTCAAAGATATAAACTATATACATAAACTACACTTATCACAAACACCTATACGAGAAATTTGAGAGAAATCTAGAATCAAATTAGATGCCTTAAATGCTTGCGCCACCCGAGTTTGCTAATGCATAGAAATGATAAAAAATACTCACTTCAAAGCTTAATTATAAACGACTTATTAGAAAGGCTGATGCGAACAAAGTGAGACAAATCTAGAATTCAATTAGATGCCTAAAGTGCATGCGCGAAACGGAAATGGATGCAACAGGCTCCAATCCACTGACAGCGCTGATCATCTATTGATCGATTCACAATTATAATTTATATTTTAAAACTGCAGTGTAATCTCTTTATAACGTCTTTCGTTATAACACAACACTTTTTATAAAGAAAATGCGTTAATTGCATTCATTCTTTATAACGCAACATTTATATCTATATATATAAAAATGAAACCCGTTTTCCGATGTCACGACATAACATGAAAACGGCTTGACCGATTTGTCTGATTCTTTTTTTATAATATTCCTTGAAGTACGAGGATGGTACTTACGGAGAGAAAAATAAAAAAATTGAGTGAAAAAGTCTAAAAACAACACTTTTCTATATTCCCATACAAAATATTCGTAATAATATTTAAAGGCATTTTGAACTTTAATACCATATCATAAAGTTCAAGTGCAACCCCTCCAGTTCCGGGAAGGTAAATTTTTATTTTTTAACATAATGTATTTGTTGTATTATCAACTTTTTTTTTTATCTTACTAGCTAGACCGGTGTCCCGAATAGCAGAATAAGTATTTAAAAAAAAAATAAAGAATCGACTTTTAGGCGGTACGATGTTCGCCAGGCCAGCTAGTTTGTAATATTTTAGTGTAATTGTTTTTATAATCAGCTTACAAAACGAACATTTTGAGGTGCCGAAATTTCTGAGAAAGACACCTGAGGTCATAAACAGCCGTCTCGCCTTTGCATTAACACGTGTGCCATTATTCTTAGGGCCAGTTTTTTGATCCGTAGTAAAAAATGGTTTTACCATTTGTTACATTAACTATAGTTAAATGAATAACCATTGGTAAAATCGTAAATGCGTTTTTCAATGCCTTTTTTAACTATAGTTAAACTTAACAATTTGTCAATTTGTTGCCAGTGCAATGAGCAATGACATCCCAAAAAATGTGGTTCTTTTTTGTGGGGAACATTTATTTTGTATGACAACACTAGACATATTGAGTGAATGAAATCCATTTTTGCCATCTTCATTCGTTATTTGCGCTTTGAAGAGTTTGAAGTGTCAAATTAATCTAAATAACACGATATAAATAAAGTTGTTTTTCTGTGATTTAATACGGTTTACACTTTTTACGATACTTAAATATATAAATAACGATGTCCGCAAACAGCCAACGGTCAAATAAGTACAAACATATTTTCGTGTTATTTATTCCGGTTTATCTTGTGTTTCGTAATAGAAAGTAATACATTTATGTTTTGTTAAAGGGACCATACTGCTAACTTCGCCAAAAAAGAAACTGCCAAACTGGTGATGCTTCTCAAGGATTACACAGTCGTAACCTGCAAACAACTGATCACTGCAGCAATCTACAAAAAGATGCAGCTTGGAAATCTCTGTGACGTTTTCAACTCAGATGGGTCTAGACACCGAAGTGTTAAATTTAATATACATTTAATGAAGGTGTAGGCACATTTTTATATTTATTCTTGTATAGCTGTGTCCTACAACAAAAGGAAAAAATCTTTTAACCCTTTGGAAACAAGGAAGCGGATTATGATCCACACGGATAAAAAAAATTGAGTTTTTGAAATAAAAACAAATAAGAGAGGATGATTTGTTCAATTATGCTAAGGAAGAGCATCAAAAACATTTGCTGCACCAATGAGAGGCCCACCAAAAATTCATACTGCATAAAGAGGAGGTGCACCAAAAAGTGATGCAGCAGATGGAAGAAAGGTACAATAAATATATGTAGCAGCAAAAAGAGTTGCATCAAATTGAGGTGAAATGCAAGAAGAAACAATTAGAAAATATTTAATTGCTACTTTAGGGTTTCATGTAAATTTTGTAATGTTTTTTTAATAAAAATGGTTTGTATTTAAGTTATAATTAAACAGTTTATTAATCAAGTCAAATGTTTTATTTATAAATTCTTGTAATAAAGTAGGTAGATGCTAACTCACAAATGTAATAAAAGCCCTAAAGAATATCATAGGTCCCTAGCTAATGTGTAGCTGTAGTTTTTAGTATAAGTACATACTTGTATGTACTTATAATAATTATAAGTTAATATTATTAGTAATATATAAATAATATTAACTCTAATTCATTATGTATTCTATTGCCTATAATATTAACTTATAATAATTATAAGTTAATATTATAGGCAATAAAACACATAATGAATTAGTAATATACTTAATTATATACGGTGTTGTAGGTAGTGGGTACCGTACACATCGGCTCCCGTGTAAAAATACAATTAAAAATAGAAATTCCCCTTATATTGCTATAATGTTGTTTTAAATGAATTAAGCAAGGCAAATTAGTGCAGTGTGTGACTTTTCCAAGTTGTTGTGTTAATGGGATAATCAAATTTTCAACATAATAACAAGCGCTCTGGTGCAGTGGCCGTTTTAAAACATCAACAATACGCTAAATGGAAAAATACGCAAGTGAATCATAACATTAACATTATTTTGCATTTGATAGTTTTTTGATTAATTATAATAATCATATGCATAGATTCAGTGAAGTTCGAGTTTTTGTTCAAAGTGGCGCGTTGTGCGTTTGTACTCAGCTATTGGACTGGAATATATACTATTATTTCGGCTGATTAATCGACCGCCCGCTCGGCGCAGTGTTGCAGAGCGCTGCCATAATATCGTTATATAGTGTCTGACGTGGTTCCAATCCAGGCATCCCACTTGTTTTTGTTTTTATTTATTTTTTTATTAAAAGTTGCTATGGCGCCTTCAAATTGTTGTGCTAGCTGTCATATTGAGCTACCAAAAAAGGATTTTTTTATGCTGTCATATCTGCAAGTTAAAATACGACCTAGAATGTGCTAATGTCTCCCGCAAGCGCTTTGTTGAGATGGTCGCAAGACAAAAGGCGTCATTTAGATGTCCCGAATGCTCTAGGAAACCGACTAATGTTAGCAATGCAAAGACGTCATTGCTGACTTGTGAAAATTCCGATGGAAGCCCCCATAGTATGAGCTCACAAGAAGCAAGTCCGGAGAGTGAAGCTCCGTGCTCTAAAGTAACGCAGCGAATAAAGCCATCACATGGACCCCCTTCACAACTACCAGAACTAGAACCATATGTCACTGAAGATAAATTGCGAGATATCTTACAACAGGAGTTATCTTCAGTCCTCACTGTGACAATAAAGCGATTGGTGACATCGGAACTTAATAATCTCACTGAAAGGGTTGTTGGGTTCCAGGACACAATCTGCTTCCTGAGTCGACAATTTGAGGATATAAAGTCTTCTCTTGAGGAGAAGGACATCGCAATAGTGAATCTAAAAAAAGATAATGAGAGGTTAAAGTCTAATGTGGCTGACCTAACGAACCGGCTAACTTCTGTTGAACTACATGCCCGGGAGAATAATATATTGATTAATGGGATCCCTGAGAATAGGTCAGAAAATTTATTTGAAACTGTCCTTCGTATAGCCAAGACTGTGGACTGTCCCCTCACTCAAGTTGATATTCAGCACGTAACAAGGGTTGCTAAAATAACTAATAGCAGTGATAGGCCTCGGTCCGTGGTAGCCAAGTTATGTAGCCCGCGTACACGTGACTTTGTTCTGGCTGCTGTGAGCAAATTTAATAGGAAGAATCCACAAGAGAAATTAAACTCTCATCATCTTGGTATCGAAGGAACTAAGAAACCTATTTATGTATCTGAACATCTTACATCAGTTAACAATGCTCTTTACGCGGCCACACGCTTGAAAGCAAAAGAGAAGCAGTATAAATTTGTATGGGTTCGCAACGGACGCGTTTTTACAAGAAAGAACGAAAACTGCCAAGCCTTGCTTATTAAGAATAACGAAACCTTAAATCTTTTAACATAGTATAGTATATTAGATTGTAAGCTTTTTGTTGTATCTTTAGTCTAGTAACACACTGATTTTTTTTTACGATGCTTGAAATTTATTATCAAAACGTACAGGGGTTGAGAACTAAAACGGCAAGCTTTCTCAAATATTTGTCAACTTCTAATTACAAGATCATCGCTCTAACTGAAACTTGGCTGAAATCTGGTATTTCAAACATGGAATTATTGGACAATAGATACACTGTTTATCGTAGAGATCGTTCAAGTTCTACCAATACCAAATCGGATGGTGGAGGTGTCATACTGGGAGTCTCCAAAGAAATTTCTTCTTTCAGAGTTGAGGCATGGGAATCGGATGTGGAGGACTTATGGGTCACCTTACATATAAATATTAATAAAATAATAAAGAAACTTTCGATATGTGAAGTATACCTGCCTCCTCCTGTTAAGATTGGGACTTTGACACATTTTTTAGACAGCGTCGACAGAGCTTTAATCTTAAGGGCCGAAAC